AATCAATACCAATGAATTTTTACTCTTAAAGTCCGAAATGTGCAGCGAGCATTTCTCACTTCATTTTTACAACACAAAAACAAGTACAGTTTATTACTAGAATTAAAATCTACTTTTTTTTCGTATCTATAACAAGCTTAAGCTTTATTCTATCTACTGCTTCAAAAACAACTTTGTTTCGTCAACTGTGTGCAAAGTTATAAGCAAATGAGCAGCTTGTGACCAAAACTGTGTATGCCAAGCATGTCTGAGGCAATTAATTATGTTACCATGCTTAAGGTGTGAGTTGTCCATCAATGGTGACATCTATCAGGAATTAAGCATACACTTAGTTGGGACTTGGGACCTAGTATGGTACCTCTATATATGCCGTAAGATTAGCATCCGGAGTCCCTCCTTTCTCACATATTCGACGACAAGAATGCTTGCCATGTTCCGCCCCTGAATGGGAAATCTAATTGCATAAATTAGGGTTCCAACAAATTTTCAGGGCTAGGTACTATATCTTGAAGTCTGTGAAAGGGAAATCACATATCGTGTGGCATCAATATAACATGACATGTTGAGAGATTTAGCTCAGGAGAGAAAATATTCGCTCTTGGATTTGAATTATTTGGCTCTCTTGGCACTGGTAGTAAAGCGGGTATAAAATGTATGGGGAAATTCAGTCCTTATTTAATTGTAGCTTGTTTAACAATGATATCCCGGAAATACTGACCGATAAAGTCCCTGCCTGATTTAGTTAGGTTGTCGTTCAGCTGTTTTGACCTGAATTTGCACCGAAAGCGAATTATTACTACTTCTCTCAATTTCTATATGGAGATTTCTCACCAGCGGAACAGCGCCATCTCTGTGGAAAATGGCCCTACGATATGATTAATTCAAGTTAATCAAGATTATTCCAAAGGACTTCTATTTCCGATCGAATTTCTGGACAAGTCTAAAAAGGAGTTTCAATGTATGTTCCGAAGTCTATCAGGGCAAGCTGAGTTCTGAGGATTTCCTGTACAAGCAGAGAACACTACCACGACAAACTCAGCAATCTTCCAAGGCAACCCAGGCCCCAGCAAGTTTGAAGGAGTTCTAAGACAAATTCTAAGTACTTTAATGGTTAGCTCAAAAAGTAGTAATTGTTAAAAAAAACCGACACCTGAGGAAAATTTGCAAGCTTTCATGTATAGTTCAGAGACCAGATAACCAACCCAAGTAACAATTTTGGGTTCTGAAGACCATGATTTGGACTTGTAGAATGCTATTAAACACCTATAAATCTTGCAATGTTACTTGGGAAGGCATATCCAAAATATATCCAATCTTAAAGAAAAAAAAAATTAAAGATCCATGCAGGGTAAGTTGAGACGACCTTCAGAACTTTCAGTACAATTCCAACGAATTCCCAAGACTAATCCAGAAGAGCTTCGTTACACATTTTGAAAACATCCAGTGTAAGTTCAAAGAGCTTTTAGTACAAATTTTGAGAACATCAAAGGAAATTCCAAAGAACATCCTGAGTAGATCCAAAAGACTTCAGGCCTAGTTCAAATGGCTACCAGATTAAGGCAAGTTAATCAAGCTCAAGGATTTCCAAGATTATTCCAAAGGACTTCTATTTCCGATCAAATTTCTGGACAAGTCTAAAAAGGAGTGTCAATGTATGTTCAGAAGATTATCAGGGCAAGCTGAGTCCTGAAGACATCCTGTACAAGCTGAGGACACTAGCACGACAAACCCAGCAATCTTCCAAGGCAAGCCAGTGTTAATTCCAATGCAAGCCCCAGCAAGTTCTAGGGTAAGGCCGAGGGAGTTCTAGGGCAAATTCTAAGTACTTTAATGGCAAGCTCAGAAAGTAGTAATTGCAAAAAAAAAGGGCGACACCTTCAGAGACCAGATAACCAACGGATATCCAAAATATATCCAATTTTCAAAAAAAAAAAAGACCTTGAAAGATCCCTGCAGGGCAAGTCGAGAGGACCTTAAGTCCAAAGAGCTGTTATTACTAAATTAGGGAACAGCAAAGGAAATTCCAAAGAACATCCTGAGTAGGTACAAAAGACTTCAGGCCTAGTTCAAAGCGGCACCAGAGTAAGGCAAGTTAATGAAGCTCAAAGATGTCCAATATTATTCGAAACGACTTCTTTTTCCAATCGAATTTCAGCACAAGTCTAAAGCAGTTTCAATGTATGTGCAGCTGAGCTCTGAGGACTTCCTGTGCAAGCTGAGAGCACTACAGCAACAATCCCAGAAATCTTCAAAGGCAACCCAGTGTTATTTACAAGGCAGGTCCCAGCAAATTCTAGAGCAAGTTCTAGGGAGTTCTAAGGCAAGGTCCTCAGACTTCAACGGCAAGCTCATAAAGTAGTAATTGCAAAAAGAGCGACACCTGGCGAAAATTCGCAAGCTTCCAAGTCTAGTTCAGAGACCAGATTACCAAGGCATGTCCAAACTATATCCTTAACTTCCAGAAAAAAATACTTAGAAGATCCCTCTAGGACAGGTCGGGGGGACCTTCAGGCAAGTTTGGAAGGCATTTTTGGCCAGACCCCTTGGCCTCTAGGCTTGAGCGTTTTCAGTGTAAGAATTTTGGATTTCTTAGGGAAGTCTATGCGATTTCCAGAGCAGATCTAGAGCAATTCATGTGCAAATCCAAAGACTTCCAAAGCGAATCTAAAGGTGTTCGAGTGAGGATATAATGCTCCCCAAATCCAGAGTCCTTCAAGTAAATTCTCGAGGATTGCCATCCCAATAAACAATGCTAGTTTTATCGAGTTTTTAAAGCATACTACAAATCTAAGTCATGGTCTACAGAACCCACATGAAACTAGAAATGTTACTTGGGATGACAAGTATATAACACTTCCAGAGCAAGTTCAGCACACGTATAAAAAGGTCGTTGAACATCTTCCACCCAGATCGTGTCATCTATAAAAGGAGTAACACCTCATTAGTTCCACATTCTTCGACACCTTCGCAAATTACCGACCCGGTTGCATCACCTACGACGACGACGTCAACGACTTCCGTGTGATCTGACGACGATACGAGCCTGTTGATATGCAAAACAAAAAGTAGTAGGGTTAACTACCCCATTTTCGGCCTATTAAAAACAACCCGCACTTAGTCTTTCTTAATCACCGCGCAGTTTAGCACCAAACGGAATGTTATTTAAATTTAATAAAAAGAAACCAATCGATGAGATATTATCAAAAGTCTAACACTGCTTCTTGACGCCAAACTCGACCAACGGATTCTAAACTTGGTCTAACGCATTTAAACGTCATTGAAATTGAAACGCCAGTGAATTCACTTCGGCCTATCGGATGAAGATAAAAATTGATTCGGTCGGAGAGCTTCTTTTGTTCGCTCTCATTGACTTAGTTCGGTAGCTTATTAACTAAAGTTTTGTACCAAACGCATAATGGACTTATTAACTCTGAAATCATGGATTTATTTGAAGTTTTCTGCTCGCTCGATAGGCCCAAAATGGGTGATTAGGCCGAAGTAGTTCTCTACCCTACCTCTCAACTCATTACAGCTTCACATTAATGAGTTGCTAATTCATCGCCATTGCATTTTATTTGAAAAGTCAGAGCTGCTTCGACGGTTTACGGCTTTCCCTTGAACTCCAAGGCCATCTTTGTTTATCTACTTCTGCTTCACTTGAGCACATCTGTCAATGTCTCAAAGCGTACTCATCAGCAAGGCAAACTAAATGGGGATGGTGGGAAAAAGGCTTTTAGCAGGTTTTCCATCTGGAGTAGCCCGAACAATGGGATGTTAGCGAAAAAAAAAACAAGCAACAGTGAGTGCATTTGCACACAATTAAATCCTAAGAGCAGAAGTCTACAAACGAAATGCGAAATGAGGCGAATTTCCCACCCATTTTTCTCCGTCCGGTGTAAATAATTGACTTTACGCAATATATTTATCAGAACAAACAAGGGTTTGACCGAGGCCGCGTGCGGGTGGTTAGTAAAAAGTAACGATGATTAATGTGTCGAAAAAGAGAGCTGGACGGTGCTTAATTATGGCATCCGAATGGACTCATTTAAGGCACTGAACCGTGTGATTTCAAGGTTAATTGATGGGTTGCGCATGTTCGGAGTAAAATAGTGCTAAATTAAACCGTAAATCTAGATTTTATAGCAGTATCACATTTTTATAGCACCGTTTGACAGCTTCTACGCAGCTTCAAATTTAAGCTTGATTGATCCAACAGAATTAAAAACTGATTCTCCGAAACCACCGAGCAATCATCACCTTCCCGACTAAAACAATGCGACAATCGGCTAATCGGCCGCTATAAAACTTTCAGTTTTCAAAAGTTATGACACAGCAAACGAGCGACATTCGCCGCCGTCGATCGCCACCAGATGATCGCAACAAGGCCGCAATTTAAGCTTTTCGTGTTTTGCATTCTCCGCACCATGATTCGTTAGGTGGTTTGGTTGTTGCATCTAATTTCATTTTTCGCGCTTTCTGAAAGTTGATGGTGCGCGAAAACAAATCGCACCCATAAATCGCAAATCACACACAGCGAACCGTGCGCGGCGCCCCCCGTCGAGGGGCGAGACACTATCCGCTAATGAAAAACTGCACTGCAACCGCAAAATCCGCCAATCAATAGCGTCAATTTTCCTTCGAAAACAATGCTCGGCCGGATGATTTGGTCAATTTTCCGGCGGAGATCATTTCTCGCGCAGCGTGTGTGTGAGTGTGTGGTCTATCCGCAGCGGGGTTGTTATTGTTGATTTTTTTTGGGCTTTGATTGGACACAATTATCCGGGGTGAGGATTATCAGTGCAATTTATCCGGCCAGCAGCTGGCGGAAATCGGTGGAAAATTGCGTGCAAAATGTCGAGCGAATTATGCACATTTTATCCGAGTCGAATTTTGTAAGTTGCAATCTTCGGACGGATTTAATTTAGGGTTGCGTCGTCCGTCGGTGTGTCGGTGTGTAATTCATATGACTAATTTTCTATATTATTTGCGACTATTTGCAGATCTGCAATTGGCGGCGGAACTCGGCAAGACCTTGCTCGAGCGGAATAAGGAACTGGAAACTTCGCTCAAACACCATCAGAACATCATCGAGGATCAGGCACAAGAAATCGAGGTAAGCTTAATTTGCACAATTGTGTCATCATACAAGGGGATCGTTGTGACTCAAATGAAACGTAGAGGTCTTAGGATTGCCGGCCAGGTCAACCTGGTCAACTCTGCGACGTGTAGTAATGCGTATTTTGTGACACTTGACTTTCAGTCAGTAAAATTTTGAAGTTAACATGTTAGTTTAATTTTAGTTAGTCGAAGGTCTCAAAATATTCAATGTCTTGAAAGACCCATAAACGTCACCAGTGTCTGTTTTTATCATTTACCATCACATGAAAGGATTAGCGCTTCAACGCAGCGTAGATGAAATGCGTTTGTTTTGAAAATCTTCGCTGTTACGTACGAGCGAAATGAACAAATGAGTTCATTATACATCAACGAATACGCGTTTGTTGATATTCACCAGTGCTTGATTATCAAACCCAAAATTATCTAAATCAGAAGCGATCCTCAAAAGCAAAACAATCAACTTCGTTTAGATCAATTCAGCTTGAGGCAATAATTTGCCGTCGACCTGAGTGTAAAAACCAACACGACACGTTCTTCAGCGCTATATTTGTGTTAAATGAAAATAATCATAATCATCCCCACCAATATGAAGACGAGCATTAATATTAAAACAACAGAGGCGACAATTGACATCCAGGCACGAATGAAGAAAAACAAATGTTGACTTCGATACTCAGAGGTTGCCTTGACCAAGAGAATGCTGTTATGTCAAAATCCAAATTCATGCAGGTAGTTGGTCTATCTGTTAAGGTTGTCTTCATTTTCAGCTAAGTTGAGTGTAGAAGAAAGGATTGTTATCTGCACTGAACGTCACATAGATTGTAGGAACTTAACAGAAGATCTGAGGAATGAAAGTAAATGCTAAGAATTTCAGTGAACAACCTGCGGTAACATAAGGGAAGGTTTTTAAACTTCCTGAAAATATGGGGAACTTCATGGAAGCTTTTTTTAAACTTTATTAGAGAGATTTTTAACCGTTGGCTTGTTCATCTTTATAAAATAGGAGGCCCCGGAGTTGGCTTACAATTCACATGTACTCAAATAGAAGTAATTAAAACAGATTCCAGCAAAAAAATAACAATACAGGCAACGAAAACAAAAAAGCAATCTGGTACATCATAGTTATGTAGGGTTTTGAAAGAGATCGGAGCTCCACCGTAGGAGGGGTAATCGCCTGTCCGACAGAGATGTCCTGTCAGCCAAAAGAAAGTTAAAAGGACCTAAATGTTGTTGTATAGCTAGTCGCCCAGTATGTCCCTAATGCTGTTGGGAAGTGCGTACTGCTCCCGTAGATGTTGGTATTGCGACACAGGCATAGGATGTGTTCCACCGATGCAGTGGTTCCGCAAACGTAGCACATTCTGTGGAACTGCGTCCTACCAAAACTACATATGTGAGATCCTTGTATGGCCTGTCCTAAGACGAGAAGCCACCTTCTGGTCCTGTAGTTTCGACATATCCGTCCACTTGCTCGTCGTTCCTTTGATTCTTCGGATGAAGAGGGATTGGGATTGGCACCACTCTGCTTCCCAGGCTTCCCAAGTTTTGCTAACTATCCATCGCTTTATGTCCTGTAGTGGCACTTCGTCGTCCAGACCCTGCCAGGCTGTCGGCTTCACTATTTCCTGAGATACCGCAGTGCCCAGGAATCCAGGTGAACACCGTGTTCGGAGGTGTGTCCTCAACGATACCCTGTATCCAGGTGTGAGCCAGGGTCTCAGATGTAAGGGCTTGTATCACGCTGTACGAATCGGATAGTACCAGTATGGGCCGGTCCGAGGGTGTTGTAACGGCTACTCCAATTCCGACCCCGGCTCGGGAAAGCGATCCGTCCGTGTATATGTGGGCATGGGTTGGGCAGTCCGAGCCTAGCAGTTCGGCTACTGTTCTCCTCAGCGCTGCAGAGTTATCTCCAGCCTTGAACCTGCTCTTTATCCGACTCTCGATTTTTGGTGGAGGTATGCGCCAACTTTTGTCTCCGTACCAGTGGACCTTGGCCACTGGGGGGAGCTCCGAATAGGCAGTCATGCGGAGGAGTCTGTTCCCCTCATCGAGGAGAAAGATCCTGTCATTTCCGGAGGTCATTGCTGTAAAGGCAGCGGCTTTCGTTGCAATTGCTGCGGTTATGCGATGACGGAAGGGCAGAATACCCGCTTCGATGCATGCGGTATCGGCGGATGTTGACGGAAGAAGACCGGAGACAATCCGAACGTAGGTGTTGAAAGTTGGTGCTAATATCTTCACGAGCTTTTCGGTGGTGATGCACGCCATCTCCAGACCGTACAGTAGGCGACGGTGACTATCGATGACAGCTCTTGCAACCCGGAAACGAGCGATTGTTAGACCGTTGGGGGTGAGAGACGGTACGGATCAAGTCCTACTGCGGCAGTCGTTCTGGATCGCCTTTTAAGTGCTGCTCGAAGTTGAGGGACAAGTACCCCCAGAATACGGACCGTCTTCTTCAGTGGTATGGGCTGGCTTTAAACTTTGATAGGTGGCCCGCTGAAACGGTGCCGGGATGGACACACGTGGCACCTGACGCTTTTGGTGACTTCATAGAAGCCTTAAGAACTTCAAAGCGGTTCCATTAGCTTCAAAAAAGCTGCTTCTTGGAATTTCAGAAATATTCAGAGAACTTAACGTAAGTCAAAACAAGTTCTGAGATGTGGAGAGAATTTAAAAAAAAACACTGTGGAAACTTTTAAGAAGTTCCAAGTGCCTCAGAAAAGCTAGATCTAAAGATAATTGGGGAATTTCAGAGCTCTTAAGGGCAGTTTCCGTAGCTCCAGGAAAGTCCAGACTTTTGGAGAAGGTTAAAAATCTATGAGCGTTACGAAATATCTTCACATGTTACAAATTCGTTAAATTTTTTATAAAGTTTGTCGAACTACGTTAACATTCAGGGAACGATGCAGATCTTCAAGGAATTTCGTAGTGCTTTATTAAACTTTTAAGAGCTTTAAAAAAAGTTTAGGGAACTGCGCAGAAGTTCATGAAACTTTCTGGAAGAGCAGTTCAACTAACGTTGTAGAAGCTCAGTGAATTTTGTAGATGCTCAGGATATTTAGTAGAAGAATAGATAACTTTGTAGAACTTCATCAAACTTTGTAGAAATTTAACGAGCTTTTAGGAAATTTGACTGATAAAGTTCAGGCATTTTTCTCCTACTGCAGGACTTAGTAGAACTTTGGGGACTTTGTAGATGTTCAAGGAACTTCGCAGGAATTCGATGAACTAGAGCTTAAGCTTTAGCTTCAGAGAACTTCGTAGAAATCAAGGGAACATTGTAAAAAATCGGAAAAACTTCGTAGAAACGGGAACGTTGTACAAGTTTGGGAAAATTCATAGGTTTTAAGGCAACTTTGTTTGATTACAGGCGTTTTTGACCTTGGAATAGGTCAGGGAATCCGTGGAAAATTCGCAGTTTTTTTTTTTAAATTCTAGATTAAGGAGATTTTTAGCCTATGGCTAGTTCATCTCCAGAGAAAGGAGAGGCCTCAGAGTGAGTAACCTAGATTTTGGGTAGATTTTGGCTCGTTTTAAGAAGGTTACTAGTGCTGCCGAGGCCGGAGTATCATTCCCGAGCAGATCCCTGATGCTGGAAGTTAGGTAGAGTGACTCCCTAAGATTTTGAAACTCCGGGCTGTTGCACAGGATGTGTTTAACGGTGTAGGGTACCCCGCAGATGATGCAGCTTCTGCGGAACGGCAGGCCACCATAGTTGATCTCTCAGGTTGTCCAGTTCGCTCCATGCTTCAGTTGACCCTTTGATTTTGCGGACGAAGGCAGTTCTGTTGCGGAACCACTCGGCCTCCCATGCCGCTGCAATGCGCCGCATGATCCACCGTCTGACGTCCTGTAGGCGTACCTTGTCGCTGCAGCCTCGGCCGAGAAAACCGAGCACTGTGGAGGAAGACTGCTGCTTTCAGCAATACCGTCTCCGAGAATCCCGATACCTACTCTGTTTATCGATCGGGAGCCGTCGGTGTACCGGTGTACGTAGTCGGCATAGTTGGACCCAAGTAACTCGGCGCCCGATCTGCGCAAAATCACGGATGCATCCCCTGCTTTGAAGCGGTTTTTGATCCGATTGTCCAATTGGATTCGTGAAGAGTGCCAACTTTTCTCTGCATGCCAATGGACTTTGGCCACTAGGTCGAGGAAACTTCGCAGAACTTTTCAGAAAAACAACGAAATTCTATAAAGTTCAGGGACTTTGTAGAAGTGCAGTTACTTCATATTCCAGCTTTTCGCGCTCGGTAAGAGCTCAGTGTGTTACTGTTGACGTCTGCATGGAGCGCGCACAGCACACTTGATCGCCGCTTGGAGTGACGGTCTGATAAGTGTGACCAAGAAGAGAAAATCAAACAAGAAACTCACAGCTCAGACAGACGTCAACAGTAATACACGGTGGTGTTGAATTCGTGTTTTATGCAACCGTTAATTAACGACCCAACATGATGTATTTAGCACAAAATTGCAACAGAACTAAACGAGATAGAAAGTTGGTGTCCAATAGAGAGTTCTATAGCACTTTAAGAGGCATCTTTTGGTTAGACAAAACAACACACTTTATTACGTATGTTTTGTAATAATAAGGGAAAACACGTAGAAAACACCAATTTTAGACATGTTTATTTCTAAAATGTAACTAAATGCAGCTTACTTGAAGTAGAAAGGAAATTATTAGGTAGGAAACTTGTTAACCTGTCCAATGGAGGTAATAATGTTGTGCTAATTAGCATATTTTCGAGTTAGAGCCAATTTATGGCAAGCATAGCGCAACACAGAAAAAGTTCAGTAACTCAGTAATCTTTGAGATTTGATCATATGCAAGTGCTCTTCATTTGCGGATCGACTTGGATATTCTGAGTTGATACACTTTTTTGGTGATTTCAATCTTGCCTTAGTCAACTGGTCATCGAATGAAGCTTAGTATCATCTCTCCTAGATTGCTACAATACTGCTGAACTTCTGCAACGGAACGGGATATCC